GGGATAAATTAATATCTGGGATTTTTTTGTTGGGGACTCTTGTGGGCTTTGGTTTCTTGGTCTATCTGGGGTTTTTTTGATTGTTTTAATCCATCTGGTGAAGTAATGAAGCAGTCTATAGATCCTTATGGATTAATTGCTGCAATAAAATGCAGCCCTCTAGCCAAAACTAGTTGGACTCTGTTCTCCCGCTTTGTTTAGCAAAGCACTGCGCATAGCCATAAAAATTGCTGCCCTGCCAAGTTCCTTCCTTGTACGTACATACGCATGCTCTCTGTCCCTCCATCTTCTACATTGCCCCCTGCCTCTTCTACAGGAAAAGTATCCTTTTGACATTTATATATACATATTAAAAAATGCTAGGGGATTAGTGTCAGGTGCAACCACAGCAGATAAATTTAGGCTAAACTCTGAGAAGTAATCTGACTTGTTGTACACTATGCAGTTTGTTTCTAACTCCAGTTGGAGAGTTCTGAGCAATAGAATTGATGAAAGGTTTGGAAAAATTATACTGTTGAGAAAAAGCTAGCCAAGGTGCATTTTCTCAGAGAGGCACATTACTGAGTGATAAAGGGATGCTTGTGGTGGGACAACTGCCGTGAAGGAGTAGTCTTAAACAAGGATGAGCAGTAGCAAAATCCAGTTGTGGCGGGGAAGATGCAGGTTGAGATTGGGGCAGTTGAAGAAATAGCCAAGGGAGACTGCAAAACTGTGATCACTTAGAGGAAAAGAATTTAGGGTGACGTCAGATGTCTACGTCAGCCTGTGAACCAGCTCAGGACTGGAGGCTTCACCTCTGACATCTTCCAGCCCAATGATTTCATTGTTGTGTAGACAGAGACTAGATCCAGCTTGGCAATGCTTCCTCTTGTTGGTTTGGATATCCTGTGTGTCATCCCTCTGCAGCATTAATGAGGCACGGAAATTTCTTCTTTACAAGAAACGTGTACGGTTGCTGGTAATCCTAATAAAAAGGCATGCAGCGGGAATCATAGACAATGACAGATCAGTGTGAGTCACAGAGAGACTCACTCATATTTATAAAAGCTCTGCAATAAAGGTGATTTTAAGTAGTCTCTATTGTGCTGTGTGTGTGCGGCTATAGTTTGGGGGTTTTAGCCATTTATTCATTTTTAGTGACCTTGGGATCACTGGGTATACTTTCTGCATGATTCTTTTTTTCCATTTTTCCTACGAAAACGAGATTTGATAGCACATCTCTAGCAGCTGGCTGCTGTTGACATTACAGCACTGTGCTCTTATTTCTTCCACCAAAATGATTATCTGTGGAGTTTCATGAGGCTGGCTTCATGAAAACTAGAGACAATGTTGCTTTATTTTGTCCATACCTGCATGCCTTTTCCTTGCAGCTGAGAGCAAGGTCAGTCTCTCCCCTGTGCTGTGCTGCTGTGTGCGTGCACCACCCCAGGCAGGAGCCTTGTCTCACACCCGCCGTTGCCCAGTGGCATCTTTCTTGCAGGGAGATCAAATGAATGACTATATGGTCGTGAAGTCTGGAAAGGGGGTGGGGGGCGAAAAACGCAGGCAGCAGAAGTCAGGTCTTTCAAGGGCTGGGGAAGACGATGCTTTGTTTTGACCCTTGTAGGAAGCATTTACTCACTTATTTCAAAATGTCATTCAAAATGCCTGTTCCGTGGTTTCAGCTCAGGGTGTGTATTTGTTTTGTTTTAAAGCTAGTCATGTGCTTACGGTTATGCTTAAACTTAATCCTCATGACTAAAAATGGTCTTAGAGCCGAGCCCAAATATTTGGTGGAGAAGTGCTGGCTGTTAGTGGCCCTGGTGTGTGTGTTTCTCCATCCTGCCAGGTTGGCTGTGTGGTTGTGCTGTCCCACGGATGGGAAAAAGAACAGTGATAACAGTTTGACAAGCAAGTGAGGAACAGATTTTTCAGTCATTACTTATAAACTGTAGATGAGTGTGACAGAAAGAAGCCTCTTTTGTCCATAGCTATTAATTATTGCTGTTACATTTCATATATGGATGACACAAACATCAGAAAAATGATGACCATTAGGGTCAAAGGCTATTTTGTGCACTAAGCGTGAGATGGGAAAAAGAACAGTGATAACAGTTTGACAAGCAAGTGAGGAACAGATTTTTCAGTCATTACTTATAAACTGTAGATGAGTGTGACAGAAAGAAGCCTCTTTTGTCCATAGCTATTAATTATTGCTGTTACATTTCATATATGGATGACACAAACATCAGAAAAATGATGACCATTAGGGTCAGAGCGTATTTTGTGCACTAAGCGTGATAAATAATAATAATAATAAAAAAAAAACAAAACCAAAAAACATAAAACCCAAAAGCGTTCAGTGGTATGGAAAACAAAACTCTGGGCTAGGCTGGAAGTAGTTGTTTCACTTTTTCTTCTGAAAACTGCTTCCTCCTGAAGCACAAGGAGGAGCAGGCTCTGGTTGCTGGCTTTGCTTTAATCTTTCCTTTTCCCCACCCCGCGGACATTGCCCCTGCAATTGTCCCCTGTGTGCTTGGAAGGTCATTGCACAAGGCAGCGCCTAGCCTGTATGGTCGTCTCTTCCGCGCCCTCAGGAAAACCCTGATTGAAAACCTTTGCGAAAGCATTTTTAAGGCAGAAACACAGATGTCAAGTAGTGCTGGCCATTGGAAGAGGTGAGGGAATTCAGTGTAGACGCTCAGAGCAGAGGGCTGTCCTGTCACTTAAAAGCTGTAGGAAAGTTACTAAGTGACCAGGTTCTTACTGATTGTATAGAGGATTGGTAAACTCATCGATACAAGTACGTGCAGAATTTGGAAAGCCTCATGGTGTCTGAGGTTTTCATTTAAAGCCTTTGATCCTGGCGGCAAATAGGTAAGGCAGTTTCAAGGGCTTGTTAAGTCTTTTGACTTCAAGATTGTATAGAAAGGCTGGAAAAAGGCTCAAAACCAACAAGAGTAAAATAAAAGCGCAATGGGGTATCTCTTTGAGTACCCTCTTCTGCCCTACTCCTCTAGCAGTGAGATTTTGATGCCTGGAGTTTGCAGACGTGGAGCTGCCATGTTCCCAGTGGCAGGGAAGGACGGCAGCCTGCGCCAACTGATCGATCCCCAGGGCTTTTGCAAAACATTGCAATGAAAGTCAGGCCCTGCAAAACCATGCTGTAAAAATCAGGAGATTTTAAAAGAGAGGTTTAAAAATAGGATGGGTGGGTTTTGTGGGAAGTTTAGTCACTAATGCTGTACGCTTCTCTCTGCAGCTGTGACGGCTGAAGTTTTGAGTTGGGTGGGTAGGTTGGTTGTGGGTCTCTGGTGTGCTCATCTGCCACGAGAGGGCTCTGCCGATGAAGGGTTCTCAAGGTGTGCTCGCCACTCCCCACAACCCTCGCCAGGTGAGCCCCTGGGTCTCTGGCTTTGGCCAGCCTCTGTACCACCACCATGGTGATGGCAGCTGGCATGGGCCAGGCTGGATATTTAGGTGCTGAAGAGATGTTGAGCAGTTGGGTAGAGCCTGGGGTGCCCTGAAGATGTGCATTTCTGAGCCAGCTGTTCTCTCACACCTTCCTGGCACGCTGCCTGGCAATGGGAATGGCTGCAGGGGCTCTCCCAGGGTGCTACGCTGCTGGGTTTGCTAGAATAAATCTCTCTTTGTTGGGGTTAATGAGCAAGAGGATTCCCAACCTGGCGTAAGGGCAGAGCATTGTCATGCAGCCCTGTGTGATGTCCCACTCAAGGCACAGACCTTTTTGAACAGAACTTGGTGTACCTGTATTTCTAGATCTTTTTTTTTAATATACTTAAATTATTTTTTTCCCATAAACACTAAAAGCACAAGTGCTGTAGACACTGTGATTGTATCTTCTGTAGAGTAAAATAAGGAAGGGAGAGTAGTGAAAACAAGTGGCAGAAAACTGGCCAGCTGATCTGTCCTCAGATTTTCGGCTGGGGCTGCAATACGATTGACTTCAATGCAAACTTTACTCCCGTCAGCCAGGGCTGGGCTCAATCTTTGCTAAGCATCAAACTAATGCTAATAACTTTTCTAGTCTTCTTGAATGTCCAGTTGGTGCTCCTTCATGTCTTATACTGCGTGTATGTTTTTAGAAGACAGTCAAGTTTGGTCCATTACCTGATAAATTGCTACCAATTCGAGAAGATTATTCAATGACCAGTTTATTCTGTGGCTCCAGTATTTCCTGTGAGAGCTGCTCCTGCATTCGGTGGTGCTTGAGAATGGGTTGAAATCTGTGAAGATCGCTGAGGCTTTTATGTATTCCCCAAAAGCCGTAAGTCTATGATGGTCATGTCAGGGGTGGAGAGGAGGTATCCAAGCACACACAGTCTGTCCCAGGCCACAGATGCCTTCTGTGCTGCTGAGGGGTGATGACGGATGTCCTATACCTTCAGGGAATGAGTTGTAAAAGGTGGGGAAGGTGGGAGAAGGCCATGACCACAAGTATAACCGTCTGTTGGTATGTGCTTTTGGTATCACTGGAGTACCTAGCCTGGTCTGCAGTAATTGTTGGGGCATACCCAGAGATTCACCTGTTAACCGTCGTGTACAATTTAAGTTGAGGGTTGCTTTATTGTTTGGCTGCTGAATAAACTTCATGAATTGAGTCACAACTTCCTGGGTGCCTTCAAAAATGAAGCATGCTCTATGATGGGCATGACAGACCGAAACCCAAAGTCTAGACTACAGAAATTTGAAAGAAATAGCTGAGCTACTTTTTAAATGTGAAATAAATAACACCAGTGAAGGTAAACTGGAGCAGAACTGGTCCTGCACAAATTCCGTGTATACCTCTCTCTGGGCACATGCAGCAAGCATGTTTCCGTATCGTCTGTGCTGGACTGGAAGAGCTGAGGCATTTTCTGTAGGTCCAACACCAGAGACTTTTGAGAACACGGATGCAAATATTCCTTCCGACAGTGTGGCATCTGTGGGGATGTGTGGAGAGGCTGATGATACTCGTACATGATAGTAACAAAACATGTCTATTTATTTTTCTTTCTTAGCTTCGTTTACAATCTCTCTTCGTACAGTGGACAAAATCACAGTTATGGTTAAACTGAGACCTGGTGTTCCATCACGCTGTCAAATTCGTGTTAAAAATGTCAACAGGCCTGAACTCAAGATAAAGCCTGGGGAGAACGTGACTTTTACGTTCACTTGTAGTACTCCGGAGAAGTATTTCATCATGGAAATTCAGAAAAATATTGGTAAGATACAGTTTCTTAATTTTTCCTGTAATGGTAATTTTCTTCCAGTAAAACCACATACCTTAGTACAGTAGCAATAAAAAAAGTATCCCCTATAATCTTGGGTAAGAAGAAATCTTTGGACACTGATAAATAACCTTGAATTACGGAAACTACGCAAGTTAAAGAAGTCTGTATTATGGCTGGCAGAATTAATGTTAACTTGGCTGTTTTGGAAACAGTTAAATGATAGTTTGTTGCATGAATTCCTTGCTGCCTTCCCTTCCCCCAGAGTTTATAAATCCATCAAAGAATCTTTTTTTTTTCTTTCCAAAGCCTCTGAGCACTGATAATGATATATTACCCATATTATTCATTGAACAGCTTGGTTGTGTCTCTAAGTGCAACAGAAAAGTTGAAGACATGCATGTGTTTACATATATTTGATGAACATTATTGAAGTCAAGAAACTGAAAATTTGGAAATGTTGGAACTAAGCCTTCATTTGCTTTGAATGTTATCTCTGGTGTATGTATGTTAATGTACTCCTTAATGGCATGAACATGTGCTACTTCTCAACAGGATCCCAAACTTCATGGTAACAGCTTTGCTATTTTTGGAGTGATGCTCAAGGACAGTTTTCTTCACGTTTTGGAGTTTTGTTCATGCAAATAGTAATGTCACAATATTTCATGATATGTTTGTAAGATGTACTTGTGATATTTCTATGTCTATGCTCCAAATTAAAAGAAGATTAAAGTATGCATAGATTAAAGTCCAGCTTGAAATACCAATAATCTGGATTTTTCACAGAAAAAATTTATAGGTTCTCCCCAGAATCCTGCAGTGGCAATTGTTGTCACTCATCACTTCTGCAAAATCTGGGCCCCAGGCTGTTCATTGGGGCACCAAGGAAAAGAAGATACAGTTCATGGGAAGCAGTGGAAAATTTAAAGATTAATGTTTTACCAGGAATTCTGAGTGAGATGCGATAAAATTGGTTCTTTTAGATCCGTGATTTCCAGCTCTCCTGATGTTGAATTTCACCCTTCTGCTCACTCGGCTCTCTACTCTGTTCAGTAAATACCTTCTAAATTCTTCAGCAAACAAGGCAGGAATACTACAATGAATCCCTTCTATTAGTCAGCCTGACTGAAGCAGGTTTATCCTGCCTACTCTATAGGCTAGGAGTCCTGTTTAGAGATAGCATGTGACCATGTTATAAGAATGTCTTTTAATGCATATAGAAGTTAAGTGCAACCTAAAAATTGTGAAAATAGCAATGAAGCAGAAAGTGTCAAATTCCTCGTTTACTTGAATGCTTTCCATAGTGTATCACAGCTGTTCTCTCTCTGTATTTAGACTGTGTGTCAGGTCCGTGTCCCTTTGGAGATGTTCATCTTTACCCACCGGGGCTACCTCGCCTTAACAGGACTTTCATCTGGGATGTGAAGGCGAGTACAAAGGCTGGACTTGAACTGAAATTTTCTGCCCCGTGGCTAAGACAGATTGAACCAGGAGAGACGTGCCCAGATTTCGTTAGCTACAACATTAACAGCCGTATCGATACAGCCACAGTCAACATTGGCACCTTCTGCAGGAACGGCTCGGTGTCTCGCGTCAAGCTGCTGGGAGGAGTCGTCATGTCTCTGCACCTCCTGTGGGACTCTCCTGTCACCACCTCGGGCTTCAGCATAGCTAACAGGGCTTCCATAAAACGTAAGTACGGGTGTTTCCCCACCTGTAATTGCCTCGTGCAGATTGCAGCAGAATTCTTTAAATCTTGCTTCTCAGATAACCTTCTAATTTTGGTGCTGCTATCCCTAATTCCCTTCCACTTCATCTTTTCTAAAAGGTGCTGTTGTGTGGTTTTTAGTTTGGTAGCTGTTGGTCCTCTAGTGTCAAAATATCTTAGTTTGGTTAACCTAATAATCACGAAAACTGTTGTGAAGCTGCTTTTGGTGCACAGTACTCATTTTTCAATTGCTTTAAATTTCCTAAAACTTAAACATACCTGCTCTGTTGTGTTTATTTTTTCAGCTAGGTGAGACTAGATGGCTCATCCTAATTATGCTGAGAGTTATTTACCAGTTACAGTGTGTAGTTGGGTTTGTTTATTTTTAAATAAAGCTTCCTTAACCTGCTGGAGTCTCAAGCCAATGCCTCTCTTCAGGAGAGGAAGGTGGGAAAAGGGTAAGCGTTGCCTGGAAGGCACACGAGGCTGCTTAAATACAGCCATCTGTTTCAACCTGCACAGTAACATAAAACGTTGTGCAATTAATCTTCTTAAAATACCTGGAATACTGTATAGCAATCAGTGGGTTACTTCGTGATCTCGTGACAAACCCTCTTTGGGAGAGGTTCTTGCTCTTTACTTGAATTCTGCAGTTGTTGCCATCGGTTATAGAAGGGACCTGGTCCAGGTTCGAGCTTCTAGAACATGAGTTTTTGTAACTCCTGACACTCCTCACAGTTGCACATCGTCGCTGCAGTCCTAGAGCGGGACTGTAATCTCTGTGTACCCAACTTCATGCTGCCAAGAGTCATCCAAGCATGAAGTGTCTTACACACTCTCTATGGTTCGCATTCATGTTTTGTCATGCATATTAGAGGCTCTCTGCTGCTGTGCTCTTGTTAGATCTGGAGGTTTTTGGACAGAGAGCTCCGTACTGGTATAAAAGCTCACATCTTTTGTTTCCCGAGACCCAGTGAAGCAGAAGCAATTGTCAGGTTGCGTGTTTGCTCTTGCAAAGCCAGGACCAGATGTAGGAACTAGGATATTTCCTTTCCAAAAAATAAAGGCCCCTCTGTCCATGTGTGTGAAAGGTAAACCCACTAAACTGAAAATACAGCATTAATATATCCCTTACCTTTTCTGTAACTGAAGGCAAAAGCATCAACTCAAATACATGTTTTAGTCTGAGCGTTTTGTAATAGCCTAACCTGTAGCTGAAGTGGATGATCTTGCTGTCAAAATAAAAATACTCTGCTGCTGGGGTGCTGCATATGCCAGTTTGTCATCTTTAATTGCAAATTGTTTCATGTGTGTCTTTTCCCCCATGTTTTAGGGTTATGCATTATTGAATCCATTTTGAACGGGGAGTCTTCAATCACCCTGATGTCCCCAAACTACCCGCTGGGCTTTCCAGAAGATGAGCTCATGACATGGCAGTTTGTGATTCCTTCCAACATGAGAGCAAGCGTGTTTTTCCACAACTACAGCCTCTCCAACTGCGAAAGGAAAGAGGAGAGGGTGGAGTACTACCTCCCCGGCTCCCTCAGCAACCCGGAGGTGTTCAAGCTGAGCGACAGCCAGCCTGCCAATATCGCTGGCAGTTTCAACCTGTCCCTGCAGGGCTGCGATCAGGATGCCCAGAACCCAGGCATCCTCCGCTTGCTCTTCCAAGTCGTCGTTCAGCACCCGCAGGTTGATGAGAGTAAGTATCTGCCTGCCCCTTCCATTGCTTTTGCTTGCAGGCGCCTGGGCTTAGCACCACAAGGAAGAAAAATACTGGGTGTGTTTGTCATTTTTCTTGAGCGGTGGACCTTTCTTGAGTTCAAGGAGGTGGGTTGCCAAGCAACGCTGAGGCCTGTTTTACTGCCCTGGGTACCACCGGCCGTTGTAACAGCAAGGCGGATGGTGATGCTAAAACTTGCAATTTGTGATGGAGTATAAAGCTCCATCGTAGATTTTACACTGTAGCTTGTAAACGGAGATTCCTATCCTTTTCCAGCACCCGCATCATGTAATTGAAAAATGCCTTTAACACTTGGGGTATCAGGTCTTGCATGTTGTATAAACAAAGCTAGCTTTTCCATCTGACTGCGTTCCCTCTGGAGGCCTGATCCAGCTATCGGGCAAGAACCAGAACTGCTTGATCAGAATTGACAGGGCTCATGTGTCACTGCCTGTTCTCCAGAACGGAAATCAAGTTCAAGCTTATTCAGACAGTTTTATTTTCAGCTGTAAGATTCAACATTTTAAAGATAATTCTTGAAATGTGAGCCCAGGTTTGTGCTCTGTATGTAAGCAGTTGTGCCTAGCCAGGTGAAACCTGCTGTCACGGCTGGTCAGGATCTGGTGAACTGGTGAAAATGGAGATGTAAAATTGTCTTCATACTACTAATAGTATCAATATGCATTTCTTTCCTTCCTTTCTTCAGTCCTCTGAGTTTTATTTTGCTTTCTAGGGAAGCCTGAACATCTTCTAGTGTGAAGAAGTCACATTAGACACAGAACGTGTCAATAAGATACTCCAGTGATATCCCCTACACATTTGGATGTTCTTCAGCTTTCTTGCTGCTTGTTGCTACATAAAGAAAATTTTTTTTTTCTGTTTTCTTGCCCCAAATTCAGACAGGCTTAACACAGTGACATGTAATAACACAGCATCTATCTAAAAACAGAAATAAAAGGCCTGGCTAGGTAATGAGCTATGAAATAAGTGATTTATCCTCTGGCTTCTTAGCTCTGACCTCAGTTCATGGTGGAGGTTAATAGTCAAGGTGCCCTCACTACAGAGGAGCAGGTGGAGGGAAGTCCATGCTCTGGACTACCACTGCGGCAGAATCTACTTAGAGGCTTTCTAAGTCATTTTAGAGGGAATAAAGGTCGAATAGCCTGTACCTTGAAGTCACATATCCAGAAAGGGTCTGTAGCATCTCACCACTCTAATCCTCAGTTCTTTGTCTAGTCTGGCTCCATTCATGAACAGCAAATCCTCCTGAAATTGTTGTTAACCAAATCATGTTTGCTTACATTTATTGCGTGTTGCACCTTGGAAGCCAGACAGAGTGAAAACATTGTATAGAGTTAATCTGCTTTATCTCCCTTCTACTCTGGAAAGCAAAGAGGAATTTTAATGTTTATGGCCAGTAGACAAGACGATAATCACCTAAAAAATAAAAAACAGGTTGTCATTTATTGAATGAGATGCAAGTAATAAACCACTTGGATTTAAGAGACAACAGTGGCTTCTCTAGGGATTTTATAGGATTTCATGAGTGATTTTGTAGTTATATAAGTTCCATCAAAGATTCAAATTCAGCCTTCAAGACAGTATGGAAACTCTTATTTAAAAAAAAGAAAAACAAAAAAATGCCATCTACAGTGTACAAGTTAAACATGGTTCTTACTAAAAATGCATTGGTATCTGCATATTCTCAAAGCTTCCCAAACATTTGGGTATTCCACAGCTGTCTGTGGTGCTTGTCATTAAATGAGGAAAGTATAGCTCTTTCCAATCAAAATAATTTCTTGATTAACCATCTCTGTGTTTAGCTGCTGCAAAAAACCCAAACCTCTGAAGAATGAGTAACCTTGCAGTAGACATCGTAGATTCTGTGCTTGGTTGTGGCAATGACTTGGAGATTTCTGCCTGAGCTCTTGCCTTTTTGTGTGTCTGATTTCCCACACAGGAGAAAGCTATTTTATTCACCTTTTGTGTATGCCTTTGAGATCCATAGCTAAAAACAGAAAATTAAGAGTAATAATAGTGTGTGTGTATATATAATTTTTTTTTTTAAATCTGTCCTTTATAGAATAATCATAGAATCACAGAATGGTTTGGGTTGGAAGGGACCTTTAAATATTACCTGGTTCCAACCCCCCTGCCATGGGCAGGGATACCTTCCACTAGGTCAGGTTGCTTTCTTTGATGTCAGAGACATGTGCCTTGTTAACAGCGTATCTGCACATCGGATATCTGTCTTTGCACATGATGGTTAATCTTTGTGAACTAGGCTACAGTCATAATCTTCAATTTTTTTTTTCCTCTGTCCTTTCCTCTCCCCCTTCCAGATGTTCCAAGTATTTGCAACTGCCATTAGCTTACATGGGAGAAGGTGTTTCATCCCTGCTTACCCTTGTTGTTCCAACTTGCTGTAACGAGTCATCTAGGATATCACAGACTTGCAGAAAGGCTGAGGTTGGCAGGGACCTCTGGAGATCATCTAGTTCCAACCCTCTGCTCACGCAGGGTGAGAGAACAGGTTGCCTAGGACCATGTCCAGTTGGGTTTTGAGTATCTCCAAAGATTTCACAACTTCTCTGGGTAACCTGTTCTAGTGTTTGACCACCCTTGCATATTTTTGTTTTTATGTTTAAGCAGAATTTCCTGTATTTCAATTTGTGCCTCTTGCCCTGTCACTGGGCCTCATTGAGAAGAGTCTGGCAGCGTATCATTTACACGTGCGTGCACACATCCCCTTCAGCCACCTTCTTCAGCTAAACAGCCCCAGCTCTTTCGGTCTCTTCCTGTGAGAGATGCTCCAGTCCTTTAAGCATCTTTGTGGCTCTTTCTTACTCCAGTACATCCACATCCCTCTTGTACTGGGGAGCTCAGGGCTTGACCCACCACTGCAAATGTCTTACCAGCGCTTTAGCAGAGGGGGAGACTCACCTTGCTCAACCTGCTGTCGATGCTTTCTAGCATAGCCTAGGAGGCTGTTGGCCACCTTTGCCTCAGTGGCACATTGCTGGCTCGTATTCCACTTGGCGTCCACCAGAACCCCCAGGTCTTTCTGCAAAGCTCCTTTCCAGCCCCACTCTTGCAAACTTGCTGAGGGTGCACTCTGTCCCATTAGTGAAAATATTAAGCAGCTTTGGCCTCAGTACGTGCCTCCTTAAGCAGATCTTTGAGCTGAATCTCGCTGTTTGAGAGAGGCTGCCAGGGATGATGGTCACTGCGTGCGCCTGGGCACCTCAGGTCCAGTGAGCTTAGAGGGTGTTACAAGGCTTCCTGCAGCAGCTGGTGTGCAGCAGGGTATGGGGAAAGGGGTGGACCGCAAGAGAAGCGGTGGCTAGTGTTGAGGAAGAGGAAAGTGCTCTTTACTTTTCAGGGTTAACTCTGCCAGCTCTCAGGTTTGCTTTTTACAGCTAGTCAGAAAATAGTTCTGGAAGAATGATTTTGAGCAATTAAATGGAAGGGCAGTGTGGTAGTTCAGTTATGCCGTTGAAGGAAACCAAGCAGTCTAGTGAGGCTTGGTCCTCAACCTTCCCACCGGCATGGTAACAGACTTTAATAATTTGTGGCATCTCCGTATGTTTTTAACTGCCAAACAGAAGTGTCTTTTAGGAAGCATCTTTGAAGGCTCCAGTGACCTTCATGATGACTGCCAGCACTTCTGCTGAACTGTAGTACTTGGCAGTTTTTTTCCTTTTGAACCATATTGGTACTTGCATTTAAATTAGCTTAATCTCTAACTGACTCCAGACAACCAGATGTGCTTAATTACTGACTTTGGACAATTTTCTTCAGCTTGGCTCTGAAAAACCTAAACTAACAAAAAGTTAGCTGAGATGGCAATCTTGCAATTAGTACAAAATTTGAGAACGGAGAACCTTTTTCCAATCAACTGTTGTGTGATCGGTAGAACTGACTTTAAAAGAAATTCAAGAAGCCTCTTAGGGAAAACAAATCTAACATAGTTGGCTAAGATCCTTACATTATAGCCTAACTTTTCAAAAGAGGCTAGTATACATGTTACCCTGTTATAGCTGGAAAGTGGTGGGGAGATGGGTTTTGTGTGTGGAAAGGCTCAAACTTCTAAATTAGAAGAGTGATACGATACTGCCTGAGTTTCTATTACACTGATGGAAAGAAGTAAATAATGTTTTCTTAGCTAATACAGAAATAGCTGTAACAGCTGCTCATCTGATGGGGGGAGAAGAAGCAGAGGAAGTTCTGCTTCATGCCACACTTCTTGCCAGTAATTGCTCTGGGGTGTTTTCTGCTGCAGATGTCACCTATTTGGTCGACCTGAGCAAGGAATGGAATATGACTGTAACGATACACTTCGAAGGGTGGCCCAGCCACATGCCGTCCATGTCTGAACCGATATGCCTGATCTGTAAGGATCCTCGCACCTGCGACCGCGTCTTGACTTTAGAGTCTGGCACCGTCTACAAGATCTCCTTTCTGTGCAAGGACTTGTCCCGTCTGAGGATCACAGCTGAAAAAGGCATAAGTATGATGTGCTTTTTTTCCCAGCGGTCAGACAAACCTTCTCTCTTGCTTGGGCTTTAAATAGAGTGAGGTTGGAAACCAGGCGTTGGCCAGTTGGGAGATGGGTACAATGAATCTGGAGATGATCTTGTTGTTCGCTACATCATTCTGCCTTTAAAAATAGAAACTGCGTAGCTGTTCCTAGAACGGAAAGGACGGAAGGCACCTGAGAATCTTCTTGCTGAAAACTGTAAAATAAGGAAACAGAACAGGAGAGCCGTAAATCTGCCCATGAAAATGCGGGACCAAGGTGGCCACCAGGAATGCATCTTGTGCTGCTTGCATGTCCACTTGGTGTAGGATTTTCCCAAATGCTTTCAACGACCAGTAGAGAAGGAGTTTTAAAGTATATATCTGGACCTTGGCTGGTCTGCAACTGTGGCCCAGTCAGCCAGTGATATAGCAAAAGTAATATCTTGAGTGAGGAATTTTAAATATGTTTGTATCTGTTGGTTTCTTTGGTGTCCTGCGCCCTTTTAAAGAAAGCTCTTTAACTACAAATGGTACATGTTTGGGTAAAGGTTGCTAAGAGAGGATATTTTCTCAGGTAAATGCTTATCTGGGTCTGTAACACAAAACTGACAGTACTCTGGGTATGTGTACTCTGGTAAACAGGAGAACTTCCTTTCCCTAGATATTTCCTCTGCAAGAAAAATACAACCCTTGGGACTTGTTTTTGTGATTGCAGGCTGTGTCGATCTTCGGTGGTGTCAGAGGAAGATCTATTCCCTTTCGGTGCCCATGGCTATTACCAAATTGCCAATTCGACTGCATAAGTTTATTTGGAAACTCTTGGCTCCTGATCTGATCAACATAGAAATTACATCTCCATCCTTGAAACTTCAGCAACATGTCCCAGAGCAGAGGTGCAACACAAGCTACAGTTACAGCATTGTTAGTGCCACCCCAGAGACAGAGTTGAATGTTGGTATATTCTGTCCTGGTGGATCCATTGAAAAGATTCAGATGAGGAATAATATCACCATATCCTTAAAAACATTTGGTAAAGGATTCCTCAATGCGTCTAACCATCAGGATCTGAAAATGTCTTTTGTGCCACATATTAAAGGTAAGGTAATGGTTTGTACTACTTTGTTGTACAGCGTTGGATCTCTCAATACGCTTGTTAGAGCACATATGAATAACGTGAATGAATATTAATAGAAATAAGAGTTCACTTGTTTAAAGTCTAGTCCCGGAGCCATTGCTTGGATCAATCTTTGTCTGAATCAGTGAGGTGGTTTATTCCTGGAAGAAGGAAGGAACTTTGTGCTCCACGTGGTGGATAGTTGGTTGTGGGAAATTATCATAATTACTAATGTGGAAGGGATGATAGGTGAGTTGTATTGCTGGTACTGAGATGCAGGTGACTGTATAAAAATTTGCATGTCACAGGTATAAGTGACACTTTTTTGTTATGGAGCAGAAAGACCAGATAATTTTACGTGCTGAAAGAGAAGGCTTAAAAAAAAGAAAGTATCAAAACTAAGTTTTCATTCCTTTATTCCTTTCCTTTCCTACAGATGAGTGCACTTTCACTGTGAGTCCAGATCCAAAAGCTAAAGTTTACTTGCAGACTCCCAGCTGGCCGTATGGTCTACCTCCTTACGTCTCCATATCCTGGTACGTCGTCGTGCCCAGCAAGCAAGTTGCCCGCCTAGGATTCTCCAAGGACCGCATGGGCATCGCTTGCGAGACGGGCCGTGCCTATGTCAACATAAAGGAAGAGACATCGGGGGCAGAGGAAACGGTGCGCCGTGAGGACGAGCTTCTGCCTGAGCCCCGAAATATGTATCACGACTTCTGGGTAAACATTTCCAACTGTAAACCTGTGGATAAGATGCAGCTGGCCTTGCAGTTCTGGGTGACTTTTGCTGACAGGCAGATAGGTGAGTCCTATAAGGTTGTGGTGGATTGCTTTCCACTTGTTTCCTTGCTTTCCCTTGGGGGAACAGTAATGGATGCTGGTCCACCTTGGGTGTGGGTTTTATGAGATCCCTGCCTTCAGAAATACCTGTCCCTCAAAAACCTCTGAGAGTTACAGCTGGGTACTTTCAGAGGCTGGGGAGGAAGAAGGGTTTTTAGTGTAGTTTTGTTTGGCTTTTTTATGAGACAGGGGATTGCAGGGCTCCAGGGGGAGTAAGACTGGATTTTATTTTCTTTATTTAATTTAGCTTTTTAAATTGGAGATCACAGCCAGAAGGTATAAGAAGATCAAGTGATGTTTTTCCCCTCCCAAGGTCACAGATCTGGTGAACAACTTGGGATTTCATTATGCAAACGTATTCATCTGAGTAGTCTTTACTTCATATTAGCAGTTCAATTGGTCTCAGTGTTCACCTGAGCAAGAAATTATCCCTGGGGCAGGTCTGACCATTTAGTGGAGAGTGCACTGACTACTAACAGCAAAATCTGCATTCTTGGTGTCTTTCATCTCCCTGAAACATAAATCATTAAAAAAAAAAAAAGGCATTTTTAGGGTAGGCTTTGCTTGTGTAAATGTGCTTCACACTTGCACTTCCTCTGTGGGAGACTGCTGTCTGTAGAAGTATTGGCTAGGCAGGCTAGAGCTGAAACAGTATCAAATTAATTTCTAATTTTTTCCTCTTTTTTCTTTTTTATAATGTATATTTCTTTTAAAACTCTCAGCATTGTTCTTTGCTCACATGTGGACTTTCCTGATCAATTTTCTGACTCTTAGAAAACCTCAGGTCAACATAATTTGTGCATTTCAGAGCAAAGGATTGTATTGAGGGGAAGTTGGTGAAATGTCACTGTTTCCTTTGTTGAATCCCTCTCTGTCTCTCTCTGCACTTCCTTCTCTTCCCTGCCTATTCAGCCAGCGGCACATGAGATGTTGCAGGTAAGTTTAGCAGCCCATGAGCTGTATTGAATTCTTGGAGATGGGGTGGTGGGTTGGTTGGGTTTTTTGACTGTGCTCCACTGCTAGCATCAGGAGTTTGTTGTTGCTTGGCCTCCAGCCCCTTGGAAATGGCTTGTGTTACCCCGCGGTGAGCACGGCTTGGAAACTCCTGCTCTGCAGGCAGCTGGTACACTTAGAAATTCTTGAGGAGGTTCAAACCCAGCCGGCTTTTAGGAGAAAGCTGAATGTTTTCTCTCTCTCATTCAGTGTCCTTGTACCTTGTCTGTTTGCAGACCTAGGAATGATACTTGGTGTGGTGGCTGGGGCTGGAGTTCTCGTGGCTATTGGACTCACTGTGGGCTGTGTTAAGAAGTAAGTTCATAATTTGGCATGTGTAACTTAGCAGTTCAGGAAGGCATTTCAGGAGAGCTGCTGGGGCCTCTGTTTCATGTGTTGATATAGATCCCTTGAACAAGGGTCTGAAGCATGAGGTAGGCAATGCACTGGAGGTTCAAGTAGTGTGCCTCCAAGAATGCTGCTTTACTCTAAACTGATTGACTTTAAGAGTAGAGCACCATTCCTTGAGTCACATTACTTCCACCCCCAGTCCATTGCCTACCTTGGCCTTACTTAGCACAGGCTTCTGGCTGTACTGGAAGTAAGGTACTGGTTGGACTTCATCAGAAATTCATGGGAAACAAAATCATAACGAATGTGGCCACTGTGCCTGTGGCTCTAGACAAGGCTTTGTTCAGACAAGCTGTAAACTCACTCAGATATACTAAGAGCTTATCTTTCATCTGCACAACCTCCAGCAACTTCTTCTGGAGTTTGCACATCAAGTGGGAGCACTTTTCTGTATGAGATGAGCCCTTGGGGAAAGAACTAGGTTGTGCAAAGCAAACATGCATAGCCTTACTCACGCAAGCAGAGTCTGAAGTCATTGATAGTTTGGGGTTTCTGATACATGTATGTTCAGAGCTGGCAGGGTGATTGGGTCCTGAAACAGTAGAGCTGGAGTGAATTTGTGCAATATGATGACTAGAGCAGTTATGAGCACACTCTGCTACACAGGAAAGACTTTACAAATATAGGCTTAAAAATCTTCAGTTCAGACTTTGGTCTTACTACCTTGGGGGCAGTCACTCCAGAAAGCGCAATCAAGAAAAGTTCATTCAACTTTGATAGAGGACCCACTATCTTACTGGTCTTCAGCAATGCTCAGCTGTGTTTTGTGAGGATCTGGCAGCCTCTAGGTCCTATCAGTGTCTGTGGGTGTTGGGAGACTCTGCACTGCACAGCTGGGACCCCTGTACTTGGGAGGCCATTGGAGTTAGTCTTGCAGACTGCAGGGTCAGCACAACAGCAGTAGGTAACCAAATAGTGTGAAGTTATTTTCTGCTCTGCCAAAAAAGCATGTCTAGACTCAAGAGTTATTTTTCCTAAGATTGCAAGTGAAGCCTTCAATCCAGGTAGGCTGCCTGACCCTGGGTAGCTGGGGTGGGTAAACAGAAGCTGCCGTTACTGAGTTCAAACACATCAGCCATGTGTTGTTTCTGACCTGTCAACAATTTCAACTCTGTAACAGGAAGAAGAAAAGCCAGAATCCCATGGTGGGAGTGTACAATGCTAATGTGAATACCCAGGTGCCTAGAAAACAAGGCTTATTCACAAAAGGGAGGAAAACCAATGAGTCTCATGTCTATGCCGTTATTGATGATGCTGTGGTCTATGGGCACTTGCTGAAGGAATCCAATGGTTCAGTCGCTCCAGAAGTTGATGTGTACAGGCCTTTCGATGGACCCATTGGTAGCTTGCCGCCTTCTCCACCTCCACTCTCCTTCAGAAAAGACATTAAACACTCTAACACATCTGACACTGAGGAACCTCCACCTCTGACGGACGCAGACCATGACACTTACACATTTGCTCATCAGAAGTCAGGGCAATCAGAGGACAATGGAGATACAAATGAAAAGAATAACGGAGATACGAGCATGTCCTTGCTAGAAAATAAGGAACAGGACAGTTCGGTGGAGTAACTTTATGCCAGGTATAGCAGTTTCCTGTGGAAGTACAGGTGACCTGTAAGGACAAGAGTCTGGGGAAAAAAACTGAAGAGGAGTGTTATTTTTAAATGTGTTTTGATGCTGTTTTGTTTTGTGTGTGTGTGGTTTTGGTTTGTTAAACTTCAGCTGTTGATAGCTTTCAGTTTTAGAGTGAACGTCTAGCAAACTCAAACAGTCAAGACACTCTAGGACTGCCTGCACTGCTGGTTGTGAAACAGGTGGCACAGGTACGCTTCTGCTCTTTATTATAAAGACACCAGGAAAACAAATTCCTAACTGCAAGCTTAAATAGAGTGAGGAGACTGTTTTGTCGAGAACATCCTCCTCTTTCACAAGTCATTTGTTCCTGAGTGTTGGTTGGTGACTCCTTGAAGGCGTAGGCTACATCACCATCTCAAGGCAGCTCCACATTGCACAGATGTCTAAGCAATCTGCTAATGTCTGAGCAAAGGAGGGGACACTGTCATTTCCACCACTTGCTGCTTAAAAGTTCGTTGTATTTAGCATACTGGTGGCTATATAAGTGTAGTGAAAGACCATGTATGCCACCTGGAAGAGCTCCATGTGTGTAAATCCATGTGAACACTTGAGCTTGGGCTCTTCCAGTTTGGAAGGAAAGTTATGGGTCTTCTCTTAATTTGCAACTGATGCTATCATACTTGGATAGCACTGTGTGAGCCTACACCAAAGACTGTATTTTCTTTGCTTTTTTACAAAACCAGTTTCAAAAGTCTGAAACAATTTGCACTTCTGTTCAGATGCCCTGTAGCATTCATGCTTTAATAATACCTTGCGCTTTTGGCTCAAGTAAGAGTAAGGATTCAGTGAAGAAATAATTATATGGTCATCAGCTGTTTAATAATGCCTTTCACTTCACATGTTAGAGATGCTTGGTTATTTAATAAGGATCAAAAAAAGGAGTAAAGAAAACACATTATGTCCAGCAGGTGGTTTCTTTGAAATGTGAAGTATAAGGAAGGCCTAGATATCTTTTTTTATCAACCTGAATTTAACAACCACGTTGAAATGATGGTGGGGACAGGTCTTGATTTCTAGTGGGACTTATACTTCAATCATCTAGCTGCCTTTGAAAGCCACCTCTTGAAATCAGGTAAATAACAGGTCTCATTTTTAAGTGCTGTAGTTAGCATGCCCCTCGGTTTCCATGCCTTTTAAAACTTGAGGGTCAGATCTTCATGCGGAGGACTACGGGTATATTAATAAAGTTGCCTTTTATATGCAAACATCTGGCTTATCCAGGTGTGCAGTTACTGAGGATGTTTGCAATTTTGCATGCAGCGCTAGACCTGACGACTTGAGAATTTCTCTCCAAATGTCTTATCGTGACTGTTTCTTGCCTAAGAATACGCAGAGGTGCCATAAAACTTTTAGACAGTGTTGCATGCAATAATGTTAAACATATAATAATGTCTAAAATTAAAATGTCTTTACTAGAAACCTTGCTGTTTACATCAAAAAAGAATGTGGATTTCTTCCTGTGTTAACTATGCTGGCATTGCGAATTGACTATTTATACAGTCAAGTGTGTGTATTTAATAGTGTATACCATTATACTGCTTGGACCACTATAAGATTCAGTATAATGTCGTATCTGACTCAGTTTTCTATAGCATATGGCAAAACATGTGCCGTCTAAAAGTGCCTTTTAATGGTTTCAGGTATTTTCCTGCTTATGTTTATCACTTTTAATATAGAAATGTGTATTCCTAGATCTCTGGCTAGTTATTGGGATCACATATTTCAAAGTGTACTGGGTCATTTTAATGTCATTTGATAACTTAAAAAGATTTCTGCAATACTGATAAATGTTTTTCTCAGGTAACTGAATTGCCACGATACATTTTTATAAGAGTAGTCCAGTTGTGCATTGATCTGGTCAATGTTTCTCACTTCTCTTTTATTGAAAAGGAATGAGAAGTCTGTAAGAGAAATTCAAGACTGTCTCATCCCTCTAGCTTGGTTTCTGCAGTTGCTTAGATGAGATTTTTTTTAGTTCATGTTCTTTCTAACCAACTGAAGAAAATATAATGGAGGTTGGGCTTTTGTTCACAACCTCTTGATCTTTGAAGGAAGAATATGATGCTTGTTGACGGTTATTTTTATTTGTTCTATTTTAACTCAGCTTTTGGTATGGCAATATAAACCTTAGTTTACAGTTGTTTCCAGTCTAAGGTTGACTGTGACTGAGCTTACTTTGGTATGTTTAGAGTAAGAATTCAGGCACAAATTCCAGTTTGCTTCTCATTAAGAGAAAGTTGTGACTTAATTTTTAAAAAAAAATATAACAATACCAGCTGGAGTAACTAGTGTATGTCTTTCTTGTGTGTGTGTGTAAACTCAACCTCGAGTGTTCTGATGTCTGACTGTTGGTAGTTATGCCATTGCCCTGAATGATATAAATGGGTTTTTAGAGAACCTAGTTTGCTGGGGTAATGTACTGCTGACTGTGCGTGTCCTTTTCTTGCATGGCCAGTGATATGCTATTAATTGCTGGTTTTAAAGACATGTGGTTTAGATCATTGGGGAGAAGGGTTGTAAAATATTTGAAGCTTTCAATATAAAAATAAATGGTTCAGCGGCTTCTCCGTAGGATTGTGGTGTTTGTAATTTATTCACACCCAACTGACACATACAATTGAATTCCAAATTAATTTCTTTTCAGGGATAATAGCATAAAAGTACATTTTATGACTAGCCCATCAGTCCAGAAGAGACCCTTATGAAAATGTGGGAAGCCCTTTTTTGTTCTAAATTAAAGTGTGTGGAATCAGTACCTACTGACTGCTTTCTTGGTTTATTTTTTTATTTATTTTGAGGCAAGTTTAATGCACATAGAAAATGATGTTTGAAATCCTCACTACTGAGGATCCCAGTAATTGCTGGGAATGGATCCTAGGCTGAATTAGTCAAATCTACTCTTGGAAGGCGTAGGAAACTCAGCAAGGATCGGCCAGTCCCTAGGCCCTCTCCAAAACTGCCACTTAATATGAATGTAAATGAAAGTACTTATTTGGATCTTCACTGAGATTGTGCCATCCTGGAGTAGTTCCTGTGCAGTGGTCTTCATCTAAAAATGAAAATTCCTGAGTCTGGTTAACCATTAATTGCAAGGTGGGGGACCACAGCAGTTCAGAAACTCCTCACCAGAAAGTTATTTGCTTTTGAAGAGCAAAGAGAAGTGGAGGGTTTTGTTGCCCAAAGCAGCAAAGCTGAAAAGATACTACTTCTTGCTGCTTGGACTTGAATCTGGGAGGTTTGGACAATCTCGATCTATCAGAACACTCAGTAATTGCTTTATTTTTAAGCATGTATGTGAATAGTCTAGTGCAATTTCCAGATAAATCAAGAGCCAAGTTACTACTCTTTGGATTAGAGCAAAATTTGTAGAGCACCAGTAAGAAATGAAAACACTTTTGTTGTTGACACCAGACTAATACTGAGACTTCAACTCCTTGACCCTAGGGAGAAAAAAAAAAAAATCGTGTTACTCTGAAGAGCTATCCTGGGATACCTGAGAGTGTGACAGACAATAAATTTAAGTATGTAAATGTTGGGGGGGGGGGGGGGGGGGGGGGGGGAAAAAGGGAGTTTAAAAAAAAAAAAAAAAAAAAAAAATTAGAGGATTAATTCCTTTAGTATAAATGGCTTTCTACATCTAACTTAGTGATTGGTTTATTTTTGATAAAGTATAACTTCCCAGCAATTATATAAGCATGGGTTACCTAATTTTCTTTGAAACCGAGGAATTCTGGTGTGGAAAACTGATCGAACCTGGAGGAAGGGAGTTTACAGGGACTTAGAAACGTCTGGCGTGTTGTTTCAGCAACATAAATGAAGCATGGCAAATTGTTTCAATTAGCAACACTCCTAACATATAAAAGGGTTTTTTTGTGGTTTGGGCTGCATCCATCTCTTGTATTAAAGAATTGCTACGCTGCTGCACAGAAGTCAGGCTTTACACTTCTGAACAAGATGTACCTTCAAAAAGTGAAGGAACAGCTCTGTTTTTCTTCATTTGTGTGTGTGTGTGTGTATTTTATATATAGACATGTGTGTTTATCCTGGTACAACTACTACAGTCACTCATAGCTGTAGAAAGAGTGCCATGATGCATCCTGTCAAAGATGCACTAACAGAGCAATGTTCCATCAGCATGCAGCACCTTTTTAGACATGAGGCTAGAAAAATGGCCTTGCTTTCCAAAAGGTGTTTTCTCAGAAGAAAATGAGGGGAAAAGTTCTGGTGATGTTCTGTCATCTTTGCAGCAAAACTTTTCTTTTTTCCCCCTAACTGGAAATGATTTGATTTCAGAAAGTAGTATTTAGAAGAAACGAAATGTTCCATGTAAAGTATGTACTCCCCCTCTTTTTTCGTTTTTATTTCATTGTCAGCATAAAGCTGAACTTTGATATTGCTCACCAAGGAGAATGTCTGTCCTACACACGCAGGTGCAAATCCATGCTGAAGGGAAGGGTGGTCTGCTGGAGGGGTGGAGGAGAGTGCCCCATGCCTCCCCTCCCATCAGGGGAGAGAAACAGTGAAAGGGAGCGCGAGAGGGACAAAGTTTGCTCTGTGTGCCTGATTTCAAGGGAGCTGAGCCCTAGTGAGCAAAAGGCATTTACAGGCCTCCTGGATAGATTTCATGTCTTCTGGAGACTTTTTGTTCTGAGGCTTTTGTTTTGTTTTGTTTTCAAATGTAGGAAATGAGGGCAAGTTCGTGAAAAGTGCAAAAAGAGCTTCAGGGTACATCAGGGTCCCTGCAACAACTTCAATCTACCTGCTGTTTTTCCCAGCAAGGGTTAAATATTAGCTTTTACCACAGTACTTGCACAAAAAAAAGCAAGCTGTGCTCGGCTGAATTACACCTAGCTGCTTTGTTTATCAAAGACCTTTGGAGCGATGGGTGCTCATTTCTGAATATGACCTGAGGCCATCGCTAGTGCCTCCTGAGG